CCCCCCAGAGGCAGTTTAGTTATAGCGTCCACAGACAAGCAGACAAGAGCATGATGGCAAAGTTAAAATTCCGGCGGTGTTGCACTTCGATCAGGCTTTCCAAGACAGGTTCTTCCTTCCTCCCTCATTTTAGATACTATGCAACACCCGAGAATCAAACCCACATGGCGCAACTCATCACTTGCTATTACTTTCGTTAGTAACAAATTCAGGTGTATCCGCTCTTGTGTCCACATATGCCCACAGAAGGAAGACCAACAATTTTTTGCACATGTAGTGGGACTACGAAACAGAATGGTCGCACGACCAACGTGCTCGCTCCGTCATCAATCCCTGACTTCAACTCAAAAGTATAAACCAGCTCCCGAATATTCATATACTATGGTACGCGTACAATACACGACTCATGCAAGGGGGCAGTGGCCACGGAAACCAAGGCAAGCTGGTAGAGGCGAGAGCAAACGAGGGGACAAGGTTTACGGAGTTCCGAAGTCACCCGATTTTCCTGTTCCATCCAGACAGGTCCGGGTGCAACGTACGGTTTCGTTTCATTTGTGCTTCAATCAAACACAGCAACACAACAATAAAACACCCCCCTGCGTGCTTTACCGCGCCGGGTGACGCACCACCGACTGCCCGTCCGTTTGCTGCGCGCGCAGAGAATATGATCCTTCTAATAATCCGATCGTCGGTGCCATGCGCACAAAAAAAATAACAGGCAAGGGCGAGAACAAGCTCGGCAAACTCCTGGAACGGGTCCGGGCGGACGCTCTCGCAGGCAAGGACACGGAGGCGTGGTGCGCTACGCGCTTTCAGCTGGCCCTCCCGCTTGACGTGATGGTGGGGTTCGCGGTGTCCAAGGCTGGGAAGATCGTTGCGGACCCGTCGTTCGAAGGAAAGCCGGTCATCAGGATGGGTGAGAATTGGGGCGCGAGCTTGAGTGGGCGCTGGGATTGGGCGGCGAGAAGTGTTTTTTTGTCAAACAGAGATAGATCGGGCAACGTGGTGGGCGCAGCATGATTGATTCGAGGGAAGGCCGGTCGTCGTTGTTGGTGAGCGGCGCGCGCGGGGGGCGGTGTTGGTAGCTGAGGTCGAAGGAAGAGAGGCTTGTTCTATGGCATCAGGCGTCAAACTAGCTGGGTGGAGTACCTGATCTGAGCACTGTTTCTAAGAAAAGCCGTTCATCAGAATAATCGACCCGGAATGTGTAGCAGCATGCAGCCTCTTGTCCATTTCGTAAGTATCAACGCATAAACGGTGCATGTAATCACGTACCCCACGCACTGGAAGTGTACCTTGAGGGTAGTGACGTTGTTGCAGTTGTACGTGCGTAAGCGAGAGCACACCGCACAAACAGAGGCATAGACACACGCGCGTTTGTCCGCTTCTCGGTAGTGAGACGCGCGTCCAGTCGCTCTCTGGAGGCACGCCGGCGGCGTGAGTCGAAGAATGGTGGTGGTGGCAAAAACTCGCTAGGAAATGGCAGAAAACTAGAGAGATGGCAGAGTCTGTGCATTAGGATTGCTCGTACTTCGGCACAATTCATGGCTTGGGAAGATCGTGCAGCGCGTGAGAAGCCCACCAGCAGAGCCGGACCACCTCGCTTTCTGATGTGTGTGATACTCTAGTTACCTGTTTTTTTTCGCACACATGTCGCCGTCGCTCCGCTTTGCTTTCTCCTCTACGGCCTCTCTGTCTCCGCGTCTCTCTGGTGCTAACTCTGTCTACCCCTTGCAACCCTCCTCCCCCCCCCCCCCCCCCCCTCTTC